TTCAATATCTAAATACTAGTTATAGTTTAAATAGTTTTGACTGGTGAGGTTTACCTTCATAAGCTTGTGCATGTACTCCAATGCGTTCAGGAACATCTAATTTAATTAAAGTATGCCTTTTTCCCAATCACATTATGCCTTTTGGGAGGGACTATTAGGAGATTAAAACTTTGGAAAGAAACAGGAGAGGCGATATGCGTTCCTTAAAGGAATGCTTTGTTTTTAACTTGGTTTGATACTTTAGATTTCAAACTGGTCTCTGATCAGCTAATTGAAACCATATTGTGCCCACGTTAGATGATGGCAGACCTTTCATTAGGCGTGGCGTTGGACACGACTGAAACCTTTTCTGTCTTTTACTTAGTTATCACAAAGCTTCAACTGCTGGCACTGTGGGTTAAACCACTCAGAGGAATGAGACGTGTGTTGAAATCACAAATAAAATGTAAAAAAGAACATCTCAGCAACTATAGCCTAAATAAGTAGAGGAACACCAAATGTAAATCACCACAAGGAGATTGATGGTGGGAAACAGTTGCACGGTGGTTCAAGTCAAAGAACTGCAAGAGTCCCATGAGTCAGATTTAAATATGATAATAAACAAGAACATATTTCCAAATAGGACACAGATGAATTGAGAAATTCTGAGTCAGATATGGCAAATAAGAGTTGACATGTTGTTTCTGTAAACAGTTTGTTTTATATAAAATATCTTCATACACACCAGTACCTTACAGGAAATCTCATTCTGACTGCACATCATAGCAGAAAACACATGTAGTGTATTTGTACAATAAATGTTAGATTTTCCTGCATTTGACAGATAACTCGCCTGCGATAAGTTCACGGGTTGTTCAAACTAAATTTTGACTTCAGTATTTCTGCCGTAGGGGAAAAGCCTCACAATACACAAAGGAGCGTCACACACTTTTAATCAAGCGCTGACCAAATCTGATGGGAGCACTGGACAATAGAAGCTTTTCATCAGATTCAAAAAGTAACTTCACATCACGGCGCCTCAGGGATGATATTAAATATGTTGGAGAAGCACCAAACATCTGATACTTTGCACAAACTGAAAGAAACAGAGTCACATAGTGCAGAGAAACAAACAAGGAGGCCAAGTGGACTCTCATCACAGATAAAAGGCAAAATTCAACAAATGGCGTTCATGCAATGTGTGGAAAATATAACACACAAAATGAATGTATGCTGGTTGGGCCTTTAATCACCATCACTTTTCACACTTTGGAGGATCTGGAAACAAAAGCTGGGTTGTGTTCCTTGTCCTACTTTTAACCTCTCAAAGTTTTGTTTACGCATTAGACAGAAATCTTCACAACAGATTCATAAATGTTGCTCACAACTTTGATGTAAAAAATTTAAAACAGGTGGAGCTGTAATCAAATCAGAGCATCAGACTAACACGAACAGACATGGCAGATAATAAAAGAATATTTCAGATCTTTTGAAGTGGGGTTCTGTGGAAGTTTATGAATAATAATACTTTTAATCATTAATTCTCTGAATGACCTCTGAATGCTAACAATCAAGTATATGTACTATACTAAGTATATGTAAGTTTTCATTCATTCATTCAACCTTTATTTATAATTAACCTTTTCATGCAGAAAACAGTTGCGCAAAAGTTTATATACTGTAGAGTTTGCATGAAATCACTATAGAACTGAGATTGTAGTTATTTTAAGCTAAGAGAGGCTTTATTTTTTCAAGCTCACTTCATTCAAAAGGCTATCTAAGAAAGGTAAGATATTTATTGATCATACTCTTTCCACATAACCTCATTTCAACATACATGATCTGTCTTTTTAAATATATTTTCTTCAAAGTGAAACCTGTTTTTGACTCTACATCAGGCATATCCAGTACTATGACCTATTTTAGGTTAGAAAAACATGCTATATTACTATTTGTACTACTATTCCTACTTCACAATTTTTCACTTATCCCAAGTCTTCAGGGTACAGATCCCCCCATGATAAACGAGGGACTACTGTATATATATATATATATATATATA